AAGTTAAGAAAATATCTATTTTCTTTGCTAATCTAAAATACCAATATATTAAAGTTTAAAATACAAAGATATAAAATTCATATATTATCTAACATTACCTGTAGTGTGGTTTTTATGCAAAGTTTATCACGCAAACTGAATACGGCTATCGTTATTTAACATTGAATCTGCTCGGAGCAATTTAATGTACAAATATCGGTAAAATAGTAATTGTAAGTCTAATGCGGTACGCATTTGCAAGTAAATGTTTTTAAGTTACGCTTCGACACGACCCGAAGACCTGTTGAGGTAAAAGCAAAAGTAACTCCGTAGTTAGTACGTGAATGTGCTAGTCACGTGATGCGATGTTTTGATTCCGAATGCAGACGGAATTTTAAATTATTTGTTGCCTTTTTGTTTCCAGTGAATCAAACGCAAGATTTTAAGCCGACTAATAATACTCTAGTTTAAAAAAAATGTTAATTTCAGATTATAAAAGGTACAGTTTTTTTATTATTCTCGCTGAGAATCGGAATAATCGATGCGAAACTGTCATGTCGTAATAGTTGAAGCATAGAGTTGTCGACCTATAAAACTTAGGTTAGACCATTAAAAGAGAAGAGGTGAAAACGCCATCACTTGTCTCCGCTGACCGCAGGCGCACCCCGCTGTAAAAACCTTAGACGACTGACTTTCTACTTTGTTCTCTACGGTCAAGTACAATTGAAAAGCTTTAGCGATTTATAAAATGTTTTTGTTTTAATTTTTATTTCACCTTATTATTTAATGACAATTGAAAAAAAGCACATATAAACATTTATTTTACTTTTAAAATCCTTACATTGCGTGTATTGGTGCTTAATTTAAACCGGGGTCAGTAATTTTACTAATATAATGTGTTACAAAAATAATTTTATTAAACTTTAAACTACTCGTATACTATTATTATTAATATAAATATTATCAATTGTTCAGTATTGTCATATTTCATAGAAGATTTTTTATAGTACAATAAAGGCTTTATGCAATTTAAAATAATCGCTAAAGCTTAGAACTTGGACATCAAACCCTGTTACGTAATTGCGGTCTTTAAAACCTTCTTGTGAGTATTGTTTAAAATCGTATTTACAGGTTTGTGAATTATCTCTTCTTGTAAAGTGGCGATAGCTCAGTGGTTACCATTACAAGTTATATTCTTTGCTGTTTTAAATAACGTATATATTTAAATTTAAGTACGAAAACTGCCGCTAAACCAAAAGATTTTAGTTACTGGTTCTCAATTACGATTTGAACTATTTAATAATACTTGGTTTTTTATTTCTTTTTACAATTAAATGCCTTTTAAAATGATGTCCGAATGAATATTTTTACTTGATTACAATGTCAACTTTTTACAACCTACAGATAAACGGAATTAATTAAAAATGGTAATAAAACCTGAATAGGTGTCAAAACAAAAGCATATGTTAATTTTGAGTCAATTAAAATTTTTATAGATAACATAATTTAAAAAACAAAATCGTATGAAGTGTGTAAAATGTGTGATCTATAACGATTTGACAAATTGTTGTATTTCATGTTATACAAAAATAATAATAAAATAAATCGTAAAACTATTAATTTACGACAAAAACGTCCAACATTTAGTGGTTGTTACGAAAATAGTAATGTAAGTTATGTTGTAAATATGTAAAAGATTTTATGACGTATATTGCAGTTGTAACTCAGCATGATTTAGTCTACACGGTATTTGGTAACACGGTAATATACACAAAGTAACAGGAGAACGACAACGACGAACTCTATACTACCATTATAAACAGAACAAATAATTGTTTGCATTGAATAGACTCTGAAACTACTGAATCGATTTCAAAACTATTAAACTATATTTTATTATAAATCACATTAAATAAACAATAATAAACAGTGTCTTACCGAACTCCTGTGATAAAAGTTTCTTGAATTTTGAACATACCTTACCAACCGGACGTAGCCGGGGCGAGTCGCTAGTAAGGAGTAAGGAGGGTCACGAGGTCACGACCCTTAGATATGAGAACGTTAAGAGGAGGAGGTGATAATATTTTCCCGTTCTAGTGAAACAAAAAATAAAGAATGGAATACCAAAATAACTAGTACTTTTTATTTTTAATAAAAAATTACAAAAAACTACACTGTACTCTTGGTAGTTACTTAGGTAAGCCTTTAGTTATTTAATACTTAATCTCCACTAAGTGATTACACTTTACAAGCTCTAAATAAAGTAGTAAATATTATTTTACTACAAGCTCTAGTTATATTAATAAATTAACAAGTAAACGTCATAGGATAATAAAAATTTCCACAACCACAGTATATAAACGGTTCTTAATAAGTATTACTTATCATAATTAACTACCACTATGTCATTTAATGTTTATTAAAAACGAGCTATTGCCCGCAACTTCGTTCGCATAGTATTAGAAAACATACGAACTATATAAATTACAAATAGCTACGTAGCCCTCGGGAACCGGACATTTCTCGGGGATGAAGGTTATCCCATGTGTACTCCAGACTTTGTTTTATATCTGTGCCAAATTTCAATAAGATAAGTTGAACCGTTGCAGAATGATCGAGTAAACATTAAAAAACTAAATTATTGAATCCCAAGGGAACCGTAACTATTCCCGGGATAAAAAGTAGCCTATGTGTTCTACCCGACTATGCTCTAAACCTGTGCCAAATTTCACGGAGATCCGTTCAGCCGTTTAGGCTACAAACGCTAACAAACATCCATCCATCCATCTAAACTTTCGCATTTATAATATTAGTAAGAAGTAAGATAGTCTGAATATTGATTTATTTTACTTTATTAATTACACTCAATAATAATTGATATATCCCGAAGGTTTCGGAGTCTACCTAAGTTAAAGATGCCTAAGCTGTCAACCACGCTGGCCCAATGTAAGTTCACTTAACACATTCTTCGTCGATATGTACAGGTTGCATTATAATATTTTGGAACGACATAAATATAAGAACGACATAAATGTGTATTTAAAATTCGAACATCGAAAACAATGTACATAGCGGGGAACGAACCTGGACGTATAGGTTTTGCGGTACAGCGCGCTTCCGACGTTCTTAAACTCAGATGCTTTCACATATTTCATAAATCTTGTATTATTAAGTTACACATAAAAATATTTTAACATGTTAATACTGCACTTAAAGCATTGATGTTAAGTTGTCCAAATAAGTTAATGTTTGCGACAAGTCTTCCAAAATACGTATAGGCGGATACTAATTTCTTAACAATATTTTGCAGACCGTAACCCATTAAGTTATTAGCACTTTAAGATGAATTTCTATTCTGTTATACAAGAAAAGAAATAAAATATAAATATTACATACGTATTTATAATTTCATGTAGAGTGCGCACAGCTTTGACTAAACTATCGGATTATCGGACAACTGTTTAGTTGCGCTTTGATTCCTATAAGGTTATATAGAGGTGCGCACACTCGATTTTTAGTTATGTAACCAAACAGTTGAATTGGCTGCAAAACAATTGACAATCGCATAACAGTTGTGATCTCTTAATCTACAACAGATGCATCTTTTTTCATATTCTTTAAGAAAAAATATGACGTCACTCATTGCTCTTTTGTTTTTAAAAGATAATTGGACACTGTTGAAAGATTTTGCAGTCTGAATTTTCTTATTTTTATATCTCAGTGTACTTTGTTACTTTATGCGTAGATAGGAAACAAATGAGGGTCAATTATATTTACCAGTATCTTATTTCTATTGGTTTACATTCATGTTAATACTCTTTTTAGCTTTACATTACAAACTAGTATACGCCCGCGACTCCGTCTGCGTGGAATTGAAAAACACAAAAGTGAATAGCCTATGTGTTCTTCCAGACTATCCTCTACATCTATACCAAATTTCATCGAAATCCGTTCAGCCGTTTAGGCTACAAACTCTAACAAAAATCCTTCCATCTATTCATCCATCTAAACTTTTACATTTATATTATTAGTAAGATCAGTAAGATAGCAATCTGCCTTGGCTTTGCACGGATTCAATGCTGATACAAAAATGTGTTTGTTTATTACTTCTCTACCACACTATAGATGTATTATGCATATGAACCTTCCTCTTTTCACTCTATCTATTAAAAAACTGCGTCAAAATCCTTTGCATAGTTTTAAAGATCTAAGTATACATAGACAGACATCGATAAGCGACTTAGTTTTATTTGAATGAAATAACATTGTAAATAGAATAATTTTGTAACAATTATTTGAAATTTAACATCTGAATTTTGATAAACATGTGTTTAGCTCTCGATCCGTTCACAATACGACCACTCAATATAAATATGAAGTGCTCTACAAATACGAGTCTAACATGACCCGCGTACATCCGTAAGTCGAGATCCATACGTCACAAAAATCTGATACAAAAAGCATTAGGTATACTAATAATATCCACATATGAAAAATAAACAATCAAATACTTTGTGATATCTCATGTTGTGATTCGGAGAAAGAATTGATCATTTCACAGGATTTTTTAGATAAAAGCTTACTCGTATCTTGACAATAAGGTCGTAATTACCCAGTTTCTAATTTATCTTTTAAGCCTTTTCGCTTTCGAAGATCCCCGTGTGAAGTATTAAGACAATAGGGATGTGATATTTGACCTCTAATAGTAATACAGTAATAATGTGTGGTCAATAAAAAAAAACTATAAATTCCGATTCAAATCACTTTGAATGTTGTCCGTCGTTCTATATTCAAATTTAAATGTGGAACTGCTCTCGATATTAAATTAAAAATATATATTTTATACTAAATGGCCGCATACCGTTGTGTCTAATAAATTGACCTAATTTATGTCTGTTTTAAAATTTGCTCACATCACTAGTGGAGTCAAATAAAAAAAATGTGAAATCTATTTGTAATAAATACAAATTTTATTATAAAGTGTGTTGGTTGTAAGATCAAAGATGAAAAAAAAAACTTACTTTGACAGATTGAAATTTCCCGCGCCCCGACCTCCTTATTTTTGGATACGAATTTTATAAATGTTATTCACTTAACTCTTACGTGGTTTTATCCATGTTTTCACTGCAACACTTAAAATTAACCACTGACGCTCGCACTATACTAAATTGGACTCTTAAATATAATGTTCTAAATTAATTAAGTCTTTTTTGCGATATTTCGCACGAAATACGAATTCAAAATAGTAACGCGCGTCTGTGCGTACGCGCAACGCGAATCGCGCGGTTCGTTTTTGAAGCCGTCCCCGAGCCTCACTCGGATGTGGCCCGTGTGTGACTGTACACTCATCTTGCACCTCGCGATCACCGAAGAAGACACATCGCACCTCTCGCTCGCACACCCGCTCCCCACCTATACTCGTCCCGTTTTCTCTTATTATCAGAGGTTAAACCGTGCTCATCTGTCAGTCGGCATGCGGACACCGGGTGGGAAGGTCGCGTCCGATGAACCGTTACTTTCTCTATGCGCTGTCCGACCATAAAACGTACCGTATCGTCTGCTCGCCGCTATTTTGTCCTTTCGACTCGTCCGATAAATTTATTGAGGATTCGCGCAGGTGCCTCCTGATTCCTTATCGACGATTTCGCATTGTATTTTATTATTATACAAGACCTTTCTGTCACAATGTCCACATAAAGATACAACTTTATTGTTTTATGTTGAAATGTAAATATTTCAAAAGTAGGTCAAAGTTCGCATTCGTTACGGAGAGACAGTCGCGTACATAAGGCGTTAAATGTCAATAAATCTCGGAGCGGCCGCTCGATGAAACTAGATCGCGTCGCGCCGAAAATGAACATCGGGCGAAATATTTTATGTTCGACCAATCCGGTGGTCGCGAAATGACACGGACGCTAGATCATTCGTTTAGATGAGCGGCATGCGCGCGCGCGCGTCTGTCGTGATTGGCGTGTGTTTGCAGGCCCCGCCTGTACCGTTATAGAGGGGCCTGCCCCCTCCCCCCCGAAGTGGGGGTTTTGTAGATCAACCGCCGCTAGTGGGGGACCTGTGACATATGCCATTTACTTGCTAATTAATGCCGTTGCCGAGATTTTATTACAGATGCCCGATAAATACGCATTAAATGTTTGTTTCTTCACCGCTTTACTAGTAATTGGTATGACGACCTACAATCTTATTTCGCACTTCAAAGCGAACCGTGTTTACCTGATACGTCTTTATAAAGGATGTCTGTTTATGGAATATACTATATCAACTTTAATATTGACACAATATATTAAGCACATTGTGTAAATCTAAGTTTCAAAACATGCGAAATTTCTATCCGAAAACAAACAAACTTAGCACAACTTTGTTATAGCCAAATAAGCTTTGAGATTAAGTTTTTTTATTTTTTTTTATAATATAAGGTGGCAAACGGGCAAGCGGCCTGAATCCACCGAAATGGAAAGCGACCGCTACCAATAAACATCCGCTATTGCAGATGTGTTGCGTACCCTTCATTGACGGAGGAGACGCACATATAGAGGACATTTCCCCTTACTATGCACCTCAAACCACCGTCAAATATACTTTTCCTTCCGTTCCTTTCTTCTTAAGAAAAGGGTGGAAAGGGAAAGGGACTAAAATTAGGCCTCCGGCACCACACTCATCAGACGAAACCCGGAATTGCTTCCACTTCACGCCTGTCTTCTGTGTGGTCGTGGTATCACACCGGGCGAGCCGACCCATTCGTGCAAAGATGTTAAAGCGGGCTCTACCACTGTTAAAAGTAGACAAAGCAAATACCTATACTTCTAAAGCAAAGAGAAATTCGTAATATCTGAGCGATTCATTAACAACGGCCATAAGTGCATGTCTATTTCGTGGACACAAAAAACTAACAATAAAGGATCGCTAAATTGACAGACAAATTTGTTTCCGACAAGAAATTCTACCTGAAAATATGTCGCAAATTCTGTAATTAGAAAGCTAATTATAATAAAAGTACAGTTACCAAAAATAACTAATCAACCGAACAGAAATTAGATCTCAACAGATTGCCACAATGTTTTGATTTACATCAAATGTTTTGTATAACTACGATGTAAGCGATACCCTCAGATATCCATATACTTATTTAATATTACACTTGCAAGTTTAGCAATCCGATTAGCTCATAGCATCAATATCGAAGAATTAAACGACACACAAAGAATTAACCGTACAGGGTACGCAAATCAAGTACAATCGGGGAATTTGACGGCGATCCAACGCAGCAGTCGTTTGAACATTTTGTACGCATCGAGACGGCATTAACTAAACGTATGCAGCTTTTAAACCATTCAAGAGAAGGGTGAATGGACATTTATTAAATAAGTATTAATAAGTGCGTCGATCGAGAGAATCATCGCCTACAACATAAAAATGGCGATGAGAAACAGAGACACAGCGATCGTAGGTCTGAAAAAAATTACATAAACTCGGTTCAAGGATACATTCGTCGCCACTGACAACTGTCGTGCTAGTATAAGTAAAAGTAGCATAATTGTATTTAAAAAAAAGGAACTCACTAGTGTTAAGCTATGAGGATTATGCAAGAAAAAAATAAATAAATAAAAAAAAAGAAGAACAAACTGTGCAAAAAAGAGTACGGACCAAGAGTCTGTAGAAGTTGATTAAAAAAAAAAGCGCGTACCATCCTTCGACCACATTACCACTTATAGGTGGGATCGTGGTCAAGCGCTGATTTTAGAAAATAATAAAAAAAATCTGTATACACGAAAAAAGGTACGTCAGTGATAGGCGGCTGATTCCGTTTTAATATTAATGCGTCGTTTGTACAACACACTACCTAATTGGTTAAGGAAGTGATAGTTTGTCTCGTTGCAAGGATCAAGGCAATCTATTCTATCTAGGACACCGCGATTTTCCTCAACTGTACATTTAGCGATGTTACAACACAGAGTTCAGAGGTCACTCGAGGCATTTGAAGAGCACCAGCTTTTATGTTTACTGAACATCTTTGCATAATACCGTCCACAAACAGGTTAAGTTAAAGTTAAATTATTATTTTGTCCGTTCAAAACGCTTATGGGAAATAACTTATGGAATTCAAGTTAGCTTTACTGGACATTTTAATTATATGTATTTACATTGTAATTTTGATGAAACGCGTGGCGAATGCAACGAAGTATTCAAGAAATTGCTATTGGACTAAATTATCGCACAACTGTTTAGTCGCGCTTTGATTCTTATGAGCTTATATGAAGATGTGCACTCTACTCGACTTTTAGTTGTGCAACTAAGCAGTTGAATTAGCTGCGAAACAATCGACAATCGCAGAACAGTTGTGCGATAGTTTAGTCAAAGGTGTACGCCTCTTACCACGAGAAATAAAACGTCTACGTAATTTAAAATGAACATTTAAAAATAAATTTAATATTGAAAAAGATTTTAATTTTAACTTTATTCTGAAAGTCTAGAGATTGAATAAAAAAAGTCGGAATTTAATTTAAAATAGAACAAAGAGTAAGTTTTATATATAAAGAAATGAGATTTCTATTATGAACAATCTTATTGGATTATTTTCTGTCTAGACTGTATCGAAAATATAATTGGAACCCGTTTAAGTCTTTACGCTCATGTTGGTAGACAACCTAAACCAATTCGCTTGATTTTTTTCTAATTAATTAAGACGAGAGAAATGGAAAAATCGAATAAGAAGCTGGATAAATAAATAACAAAGAAAAAAAGTAAAAAAAAAGTTGTGGAGTACTAATAAGATTACAAACACTTTTTTAGTCAAATGCTAAAAAAACTTAATCTAATTGTATTAAGTACAATGTACATAAATGTCGTTTACTAACCAATAAATTAAGCCTTGGTACATTAGCTATGCATGTCACATCTTGTCATCGCCGCAATAGTTCCGAGCTTCACTACTAGATGGCGCTAGAAGTATCACGCAATTCAAACTTACGCGTAATTTAATTTACAGAATTAAGCACTTACATCGATTTTACTAATATTTTCTTAGTAATTATGATGTTTTAAAAAAAGATATCTTTACGTTTTCTACATTGTAGTTAATTTTAGTCTCGGGTTTGCTTAATTTATTTAAATATTTAGTGTGGTTTAATTCTAATTCTACACTAAGGGACAACCTTAGTTAGTCCCATAACGCTATTAGTCTATTTCTCAACAAAATTGGAAGACCCTGAATCGAAATTCGACCATATTTTTTTTTTAAACAGCATTATAAACTACTAAGTTTTTTTATTACATAGTTACCGTTACACAACATATTTCATGAGGTTATTTTCCCTTTACGCAGTTACTAGGTAACGTTTAAGGATTTGAACGTGTGAGATGGTTTTACGAGGGCCGCATGTAAAATCTGCCTACACGAGTGCAAAACTCGTAAACCGCAAGCCCGCTAACGAAGACGCTGTAAACAGACATAACCTGCGTCTCTAGACTGTGGTGCAATGTTACTATTGCGTAAAAAGAAAAAATTTGTAAACCAAAATCACTGTACAACTTTACTACTAAGATTAGTCAATATATGGAGTCTGGTCTAAATTTAATCGTTCCATAAGTCGTCTTAAATTAAAATTATAGCAGCAAGTGCTGTAAGATCGAGACTTTACGGTTGATAGTATAATCATTGACCGTATAACGGTCACATACTGAAACGCATCGTGCACATTTCGGTTATATGCAACACTGGTAATCGTCGACATAATTTTACTGAAATTTGGAGTTTAAATGAGGCATATCATTTAAGAGGGCGTTCAATATTAAATGTCGTTTCAGTGTTTGGCCGAAATAGTTTAATACCGATCTATGTTCGGCAGTATTTACTTTTTTATCCAAAATTGTTACCCCCTAAGTTTAATGGCGTTAAAATATATAGCCTAAAGCGTGACGCAAGTGTAGGGCTTTTTATTAAAGAAATAATTATTCAAAAAGATGCCGTAATTGCTGACATCTTAGGCAAGAAAGAACTGTGTGTTTACGCTTTATTATAATAGTGTACATTTTAAAAAAAAATGCATTAAAATCGTATAAAAATGGGGGGCGCTAAAAGATCATTGATTTTCAAAGCGGGCGGTAAAAGAAATAAGTTTGATATACACTGATATAGATGATCGCCGTGTGTTTGTGCCCTTCTCAAAAAAAGTAAGAATTCCAAACTATTTATTTCGACTATAGCACTTGAATTATATTATTACAATTTAAGCGGATTATGATTTAATTTCTTATGTCTTGGACCAAACTATTTGTAATAACCCGCGGTAAACTTTGTCCTCGTTTTACGGTCAAACACAAACGTACTGTTAATGCATGTCCGTGGAAATCGCTACTAAGATCTGGAATCAGGGGAGATCGTCTTTATACCTCACTCGTAAACATTTGTTTGCAATTCTTTATATGGGGTTTTAATGTTAAGTACATGACAAGTATTTTTCGTAGAATTGAAAACGGTCATTTTGAATTAAATCCTTTAAATATTCAAATTATACTTGTAATTCTCAAGTCATTTACTTATGTACACCTATAATCTA